GACGTTCACCATCTGTTATTGTCTGTCCTTGTGTTGTCATTGTTATGTGTCGGCTACTTTTCTTTCCTCCAGAATGGGGCAAGCCGACTCCAAGGCCCAAACACTGCTCCAATGCATGCTGAATAACTTTTCTGATTTCTCAACGAGCTCCTGTGACTATGAAAAGCCTGCCGTTCCTGGTTTCCTGAGAGTACTCTATGAACTCGAATGGGCTGCCTAAGGAGTTAATTGGCCGCTCGAAGGTAGTTTCAATTTGTAATTGGCTTTTATGGTCCGTCAGAAAATATACAGGAGCCTTGGTCACCTGGATCAAATGCCATATATTGATATTTGGATTTATATAACTACTGACAAACCCAATTATATTAAGAAATGTCAGTATCCAGAGGTTCAAGTGAAAGGAAAACAGCTTTGTTAACAATGCCTCCGCCTGCCCTGAAGGACAGTTAACTCCTCCCAGCCCCGGAGGAAATTCTATCCCATCCTTCAGGACCCCCTTGAGGTATACTAAAATGTTAATTAACCTGAGTTTGCCTACTTGGGTTTTTATTACAGAAAAGCAAGAAGATGAATTTGGATCTGTTAATGATCTAACCCAATGTCTGAATGGATATGGATGTATTCGGATGTACTGGCTTCTTTGTGGGGAGGTCTCAACGCCTCTCTGCAAGGTTTATTAACATTCTCACAGGCAAACTGTTTAACCATTGAAGTGCCAGCCAGGTCCAGCTGCAAAGGGGGCATATTCCTTCCGTGCCAGCCTGGGCTGCTCCTCTGTAGCGGGTTTGGTAGCAGCTAGTTTCCAACAGGCTTCTTTGAACTTTGGGGAGTTGAATATAGGGATGCCAGGCAAGAATTGCTCTTAGAGAGTTTAAAAAAACCACTCTGCCCCACGTAAACATATGTGTTAGGATGTTGCTCCCCTTTCCTGCATCCTTTTGTAAACCTGGGGTCAGAGGAAATGTTCCCATTCCTCTGCCTGCGGTGGGACCCAAATACTGTCGGGGGAAGGGCTTCCTTAGACACTTTTCACCGTGTTCTCCTGTTAGACCTATTGGCCCAACTGGCTGAATTAGCAAAGGTAGTAGTTGCAGCCTTAAGAGAAACAGGGCATACAGAATAGGGTCACCCTAGGAAGGGAAACGTGAGGAAGGGTCAGGACGACAGGCCTAGGTCCCAGTTAGGGATAGAAAAGACAAGGACAAAGTCAGATACAGAGGAACAAAATGAAAAGCCATCCTTAATTTAGGAAAATGACAGGGCTAGGGCTCCTTCCAGCTGAACCCCCCGGAGCCCAGAATAATACAAGACAATAGGGGACAAACTAGTTAGTTTCCTGGTAGACACTAGTGTAGCAGACTCAGTCTTGACTGAGCCAATGGGGCCCTAACCTACCCCTGGACTTCAAAGAAGACTGTAGACCTTGGGAAATATACTGTGACTCATTCGTTTCTGTTCCTGCTGGAGTGCCCATACCCCCTACTCGGACATGATCTCCTCCAGAGATCATTCAATTGCTGGCCACTGCCACTCCAGGCCAGCCCCCACATCAAGTTCCACAAGACGTTGGTCATCAATCCTGCCAACCTGCCTCCAGATGATGACCTGGAGAAACCTCTGCAGGACGGCCTGGAGGAAATCGACACTGCAGATCGCCACCCAGACCTCAGGGATGACCCACTGCCAGCATCAGATGAGATTGTTCACGGACGGTAGCAGCTATGTCCAGGAAGAAATCAGGTATGCTGGGGCGGCAGTAGTAACTCTGGACTGTGTCATTTAGTCTTAGTCATTAAGTAGGGGAACTTCAGCCCAATGGGCTGAACTCATAGCCCTAATCCAGGCTCTCCGATGAGATAAGGGGAAACCATGCTGCAAATAAGGAAGTTCGACATATGTCCCTAAAACCAGTGGGGACCTCTCCAGATATCAGTCACCATGCCAAACCCAAGTTTGCCTCTGACTCCTACTTACACTGGGTCAGAAAATGACTTAACCAAGCAGAAACAAGTCATAAAGGAAATCAACGAATGATAGACATTACCTGATGGGAGATTATTGGTCCCAGAAGCTCTAGGTCGGACTTTAGTCAACCAGCTGCACCAGACTACCCACTTAGGTTACACCAAGCTTACTGAACTCCAGTAAGGTCACAGGGAAAGGGAGAAGGCAGAAGAAAACAGGAATGTGTAGGTCTAAGTAGGGAGGAGCAGGAGAAAGCTGGGGGATGTGCACACAGCAGATGGATTGAGCAAGCTCTCAGGCTCATGTCAGGGGAGGGACTAAGAAAGTCGCAGAGGGTCTGTGTAAGTTGAAGGATTGTGTAAGTCGTAGAGGGTCTATCAGCAAGCTGAAGAAGGATTATGCAGAGGAAATAAAAAGATAAGGAAGGATGAAAGAAAGGGACATACATATTACAGGAAGACAGGACATTGGAGGAATACTCAAGAAGGGAAGAAAATAGGACACAGAGGGAGAGCTCGCCCCTGGTAATAGAATAACAGTCTGGGATGTAGTAAAGGGAGTAACAGGTTTAGGCTACTCCTGACCCCTAGATCAGACAATGGCCCCGCCTTGATAGCAAAGATATCACATGATATTTCTAAGGGGTTAAATATAAATTAGAAGCTCCATTGTGCTTACCGCCCACAGAGTTTCAGGCAGGTAAAGTGCATGAACAGGACTTTAGAAACCGGTGAAAACTGGACCACTCTGCTCCCCCTCGCCCTCTGGCAGTTCTTACAGGCCCTGCAGTCTTCCCAGAAGGCCGTCCATAGACACATCTGCGATGCCCTGCCTGTGCCCACCTCGAACCCTGTGCACCCTTTCCAGCCTGGGGACTCAATATAAGTAAAGAAATTCACCACCCAGGGACTAACTCCGGCCTGGAAGGGACCATACCCTGTCATCCTGCCTGCACCAACGGCTGTCAAGGTCAACGGATCCAGGTCTGGCTGCACCATTCCTGGCTGAAGGCAGAAAAAGCGGAATGGACAGTGCAGGCCTCTCCAGATCCCTTAAAAATGAGACTCTGGTGTTTATTGGGACTCTAATTTTTCTGATTATGACTGTACAGGAGAATCTTTATAGATCTAGACTCCAATAGAACTGGGAACTTAGAAATAGGATATTGGGAGAAATCTTAAAAAAAATGTCACCACAAAGGGGATGTAATAACTCCATTCTGACCCTCAGTTACTACACGTACACACCCTGGCAGACTTTTTTGTAGACATAAGGGCCTTGCGAAACCCAAAGAAAACTAAAAAGATAAGGGATTAATAATAGCCTTGGGAAACTCAGAGAAACCATAAGAAAAAAAGAGATTAATAATTGCCCTGACCTCTAACAAGCTCCTCTCTCCCCCTTCTCTGTATCAGCCCCCTTAGCAGTGCCAAAAGCGGTGCCAAGAGAATATATATATATTTTTTCTTTTTCTATAGTTTGTACCTTTAAAAGCAGGCAACAAAGAAGGCAGGTTGCTGCCCTGGCCAATTTGGCTCAGCAGTTAGAGCCTCCGCCTGCGGTCCGGAGAGACCCGGGTTCGGTTCCCGCTAAGGGCACGTACCTCGGTTGCAGTTTGTCCCCGGCCCTGGTTGGTCGTGCGGGTGGCAGCCACTCGATGTGTCCCTTCACATCGATGTTTCCCTCTCTCTCTCCCTCCCACTCTGTCTGTACAAAAAATGGAAAAGTGTCCTCGAATGAGGATAAAAAAATAAATAAATAAAATAAAATAAAATGTCCTTTTAAAAAAAAAAAAGAAGGCAGGTTGCTGAGGGTTTGGGGAATGCCCCCCAAGCCCGCCCATGTAATAAAGTGCTCCTTTACAATTCGGCTGTGCGTCTCTAGTTATCTCGCTGACACCTTACAGCATTTAGAGCACTAGGGGAAGCTTGCTATTTTTATGCCAATAGACCAGGAGTCATCAGAGAGAGTATTCAGGTTCTTAGGAAGCGCCTCGCAGAACAGGCCAGAAGCGAAGAGGCCTCTAGTAGCTCGTTCGAAGGCCTTTATAACTGGTCCCCCTGGCTCACTACTCTCCTCTCTACTCTAGCAGGCCCCCTCACACTCCTATTTCTAGGACTATTTCTGTGGACCTATAATTATAAACAAATTAATAGCTTTCGTAAGAGAGAGGGTCCAATCTGTCAAATTATTAGTCCTGGCCTCTCCTTACCAAAGGTTGCCATTAGATCAAAGATTTGATCTGTACATAAAACCAGTGGGGAATGTTATAACCCAGTAATTCTCCATTCGCTGGAAGAAGGAGCCTCCCCTGGGTTCCTTGAACCCGAGTTGTTTTCGCAAAAACTCTTGAAGAGGAAGGTATGCATCAGCCATGACCACCAGGGTATTGACCATGAGCTTAACTAATCAGGAGATGCCAGATGGGGCAATGAGACATTCAAGGCTGAGATCTAATCAATGTTAAGAAATATAAAATCAACAACTTGTACAGTTACTAACTGCTGATATCCGCTTCTGTACCAGCAGCTTGCTTGCTCTGCTAAACTCTTGAGTAACCCCTGTCCTATATAAGCAACCCTCCCCCTGAGCTCGGGGCTGCAGTTCTCCTCTGTGTAGGTTGGCTGCAGTCCCTGCGCAGGTAATAAAGCTCCTAATATTCAAAATTACTTTGTGTCCGAGTGAGGGTGATTCTCCTGGGTTACAACAGGTTCCAGTTTTGTCTTCACCCATGAAAAGATGGTTTCAAGAGAATATAGGGCAGCCCTGGCCAGTTTGGCTCAGCAGTTAGAGCATCGGCCTGAGGACCACAGAATCCTGGTTCGGCTCCCGCTAAGGGCACGTACCTTGCTTGCAGTTTGTCTCCTCCCCAGTTGGGGTCGTGTGGGTGGCAACCACTTGATGTGTTTCTTTCACATGGATGTTTATCTTTTTCTTCCTCCCTCTCTCCCTCCCGCTCTATCTTAAGATAAATGCAAAGAAGTCCTCAGGTGAGAATAAAAAAAAGAGAGAGAGAATATAGGGCAGATCCTTACCTGAGTGTAGTGGCCACAGACCTTGCTGCATTTCCGCGTCTTGAAGTCATAGTCTTGCCTTTCATTGTACCAGCTGGTAATGGCTGAAGACACAGAGAAGATGGACACAGACCCACTCCAGATGTTTTCTCCCAGGGAAGTGAAATTCTGGTGCAGTCTGTGGGGTGACTTCAGCTGGTCATTGTGTGAAAACTGACATTTTCTTGCCCATGCTTTTGCAATTTGGGCTAGTACTGGGTCCCAAGTCTGCAAAAAATATATATTAAACAATAAGAGTGTCGAGAATGCACCTGTTATCCAACAATGTAACTACAGTGAGCAACGTGGGAATTTGAATGGGTATGACGACAAGAAGAGAGAAGAAATCACTCCACACGGGTCCTCTCTGTAAGTATGGTCTTCAAGTATTAGCTAGGGCTAGCAGGAAACATGACCATCTCGTTTTGTAGAATTTGGAATCTAAATGATTGACACAGACCAACATTTTACCAAAGATCTATTACAGGTTTTCCTCAGTATCCAAAAGTAGAGCAGACCCGTGAAAACTCTGGTAAGCCGAAACGGCGTAAAGCGAAGAAACAAGTACCTTAGGACACGCCTTGCTAATGGATGCACAAAATAAATGGAAATAGAGCACAGATGCTCACAGACGTAGGCACACGCATGGCTGCTTGACGCTGCCATGCTGAGTGCTGTCCCTGGAGGAGCTTGCGGGGCCACTCACTGCTCGGTGCACACGGCTGTGTCACGGCTGCGACACACACCCTGACTCCTGTTTTTGCTTTCACCTTTTTTTTTTTTCATAAAAGGGAAAATCCTCTTCAGGTTTCTTTCAGTTGGCGAAAACAAGCAGGACTATAGGTCTTTCGTAAAAGCAAAGTGGCACAAAGAAAACCTTCAAAAGGCGAGGGATAATCTGTACGTGCAAAATACCGTGTGCCGTTTCACATATTTTATAGAATTTAATAACCACACTGCCCTATATCCTGAGAAGCTCAGAAAGGCTAAAAACCCGCTCAGACTGGCTGGTGTTGCTCAGTGGTTGAGCATTGATCCAGGCACCAAGAGGTCACAGGTTCGATTCCCGGTCAGGGCACATGCCCAGGTTGTGGGCCTGATCCCCAGTGGGGGGCATGCAGGAGGCGACCAATCGATGTTCTCTCTCATCGATGTTTCCATCTCTCTCTCCCTCTCCCTTCCCCTCTCTCTAATATCAGTAAAAAAAAAAGGAAAGAAAAGAAAAAAAGAGCAGCTCAAAGCCACGGAACTGCCATTCAAACCCAAACGTGAGTCAATAAAAATTCCAGCTTTTCTCCGTGCTCTATGCTGTCATCCTGAGAAAGTCAGCACTTTCCTGGCAACAACAAAGTGCAGTTTGAGACAGAACAAACAAAAATTTAAATGGAACAAACAGAGGATTTCAGTTTGCCTGTGCCCAGGGGAAAGGAAATGTCCCCAGAGAGGAGTGAAGTGTGTTGCTGAGCTGTTGACAGAGCCACACAAGGTTTGTTGTGATCACAGATGGTAAATTCACTGAGCATAATCACAATGAAGAAAAAAGTCATTCAGGGTTACCAAGAATTCACCTCCCAAATCAGTACACATTCGTTGTTTTTGACAGACTTAGTGCCACAAACACTCATATTTTCCTTACCATGTACAGCATATTACTGGCTTTCGGCTTCACCTCTGATCGGAGCTTGTTATGAATGTGAACACAGTCTTTGATAAACGCTTCATTGTCGATATCTGGCAAGCTGTTTGCTGAGAATGAATAACTGGAGGCCAGAGAAACCACCCAGGCTGTCAGAGCAAGGGCGGCTCGCATGCTCGGTCTGGTCTGCGGCGGAGCCCTGGCGGCCGGGGCCAGAGCCTGGCGGGTTCTGGGAGTGAGCTGTCTCCGTTTTACAAAGCGCAGCAGACTTCAGCTGAAGGAATCAGAAAGCAGAACATGAATGACAACAGTTTCAAGATAGGGGTTTCTCCATATATGGTTAGCTGCTTTTAACCCTGTTTTCAGTAGTCCTCGGTGACACAGACCTATTACAACATAGATTTTTATGAAGCTGAGTCAGACTTTTGTTCGAGTTGGGGGATAGTTCCACAGGAAACTCTGGAATCTCTAGAAATAACAGTTTCAGTTTTTACAGAGATTCTGCCAGTTAAATGAAAATATAACTCTTGTGGAAATGTCTTGCAAAATGACATTTAAACTTTAAACCTCTTTTTTACTCATATCAGCACAGAGTGGTTGGAATGTGTGGTTAGCATCATAACTTGACCTAGCTATGTCTTTTTAAATACATGATTAACTTTTTGTTGTTAATTCTCACCCAAGAGTATTTCCCATTGATTTTTACATAGAATGAAAGGGAGGGAGGGAAGGAGAGAGAGAGAGAAACATCAATGTGAGAGAGACACATCGATTAGTTGCCTCCTGCATGACCCTGAGCAGGCCCGGGGACAGAACCTGCAACCCAGGTACATGCCCTTGACTGGAATTGAACCTGCAACCCTTCAGTCTGTGGGCCAACGCCCTAACCTGCCAGGGCAATGATGAACTTTTTTAATTCTTGGGGAGAAATAATATACAATTCTTTTTAAAAAATATGTTTTTATTGATTTTATAGTGAGAGAGGAAAGGAGGGAGAGATAGAAACACCAATCGGCTGCCTCCTGCGGCCCCCTTTCTTGGGGATGGAGCCTGCAACCTGGGCACGTGCCCTGACCGGCAATCGAACGGGGACCTCTCAGTCCATGGGAGGGTGCTCAATCCACTGAGCCACACTGGCCGGGCAAATGATGTATAATTCTTTATACCCCTATGTATCCCTCTCTGATTATATTTTATAAATATTTAGGCTCCAAAGGCTCTAGTCATCCATTACATTGAGAATGAGGATGGGTGGGTAGGAATGGACACAGATAAAGAATCCAGAAAGGGAGAAAGACTATATTTATCAACTAAATACAAACACATGACAATTATATTGTCTGTGTGATAATACTTCACACCATAATAACTTGAGATAAGCCAGTTTTATGTATGCCAGTGTACACAAGTTGACGCTATCTAATTCATATCCTGTGAACAATCAGTTAGCTCTAAAGGACTCTAATCAGAAATCCACACTCCAAAGGTGGCTTTTAGCCACACTTCAGGGATGGTTATGGAAATGGACGCCAGAGAGTTGGTTGATTAGATTAGGAAATGTTCAAGAATAATTTCCTCTGGGGAAATGGGTAGTGTTCAAGATGGATGGTTTGTAGGAAGACAGACCATGCCCTCCTGCCCTTGCACAAATGAAGTAAGGAAGAAGCCAGGCATAGCTCTCTAGAGACCTGTCACAGAGGCCGCTGTCACTGGCCTTGACTCAGACCAGACTCCAGACCTGGCTAGACCTGACTTCAGAATGTATTTCAAGTGAGCCTCTCATACACTTTTATGCTTGGAGTGTCAAAGGACAGAGCAACTCTGTGTTTATAGCTGTTTGCTAATGAATGCTTAGACACTCAGCAGCACTTGTCCAGGACCGGCTTTCATAGCAGCACACCATCAGACACTGAGGTTGTCGGGGAGGGAAAATAGCCTTTGACGAACCAGCTCCCACTGCACGAGGCTCCCCAGTTTAGGAGAAGAACCTGACTTTGGAGGCCATGTCAGTTCAGGGCAGTTGGCAGCAGGGATGACCAACACCAAGCTGGGTTTTTCATATTCATGATCTCACTATGCTCTCACAATAGCTGGGACAGGCATTGTTATCTCTGCAGAGGAAAATACTGGGACAAAAGGAGGCTGAATGATTGGACCCAGAGCATGACACAAGTAAGATGTTGACACAGGATCTGACTGCGATCCTGTTTCAAGTTGTTAAGAGCACAAGTTCTGTAAGTTGTCTGGGTTCAAATCACTTCCTATGTACTGGCTGTATGACTGGACTTTTTACTTCTCTGGGCCTTGGCCTCCGTATCTGTAAAACTGGGATAATAAAAGCACCTGCTTATTGATGGGTAAAAAATTATGTGAAAGAAAACTCTTAGAAAGTGCCTGATACACAGTAAGTACTATACATATTAACTATTATTACTTTCCTTTAATTACCCTAGTTATAAGTATGCAGTTCACAGGGACAACCGAGACTGCATTTAACATAGAACATTTTCTTCAATTATGGAATTGTACTCAGATAAGCTCATTGTTAGAAGAAAGTAGATCTTGACACCATGAAAATTATTGCTTGAGATTCACAGTGGATTTTGATGCAAATTATATCACACATGCAGAGATTTTTTGCTAAACGAGGCCATGATTTTATACAATTTGGCTTTTTTTTTATCCTCACCCGAGGACATTTTTGCATTTATCCTGAGACAGAGTGGGAGGAAGAGCGAGAGGAACATCCATGTGAGAGAGACACATCCAGTGGTTGCCACTCACATGACCCCAACCGGGGCAGGGGACAACCTGCAACCAAAGTACGTGCCCTTAGCGGAACTGAATGCAGGCCGAAGCTCCAACTGCTGAGCCAAACCGGTCAGGGCCAATTTGGCTTTTTGTTTTCTCTACTTACTGAGACAGACTAGTAAGCCAGGACAAGCAGAACAGGAAAACTGAAACCGATAGTTAAATAGTTTGCAGCCATCTAAGAAATCTAGATACCAAGCAGTTTGCAACCATTTAGTAAATCCTGTCTTCCCTAAACCAGGGACACTTAAGAATAAATGGTTTGTACTTCTCCTCCCCAACCAGGGGGTATATAGCTGAAACCACCCTACTCAGGGAGACAAATAGCAGAAAGTCAATTAGTGCCATTTGTCAACCACACCCAAGGACAGATGAAGTTAAGAGAATAAACCTCATTTCGGTACATCGGCATAAAGTTGATGAATATTCTATTGAGATCCTCCCCTAAGAGGTCTTCTAAACACCCAGCCTTTAAAATCCCTCAAAACAAAGGTCCCAGCACATGCTCTCCCTCCCAGGAGCATGCCCTCTCCTCACTCCCACTCCCCCCCGCCCCCCCAGGCAGCATCTCCTAGACTCTAAGGGACCCCCTGAGACTTGCGACAGGGAGCCATGGGCAGTGCAGTGGCAGTTCATCCCAGGCCACTCCCCTGAAGCTGTTCCCAAGGCCCTCTTTTCTCTGACTTCTCAGTGAGCCAAAGCAGAGCAGCCTGGGCTCATTTCCCCGCCCCTCCTTGTTTCATGTCCCCAGCTCTACTAAATGTCCTCTGAAATTCACCTGAATTCCTGTTGTGAAACTTCCTGTGTAAAGTCGAGAACCCATATACTACCGGCCCCGCCCTAAGCAGATCTGCCAAGGGCCAGGTCCTCTTTCTGGTAACATTTGTTTGTTTGTTTGTTTGTTTGTTTATGAGGAAGAGAGAGAGAAACATCAATGTGAGAGAGACACACTGAGTGGCTGCCACCCACACGACCCCAACCAGGGCCGGGGACAAACTGCAACCGAGGTACGTGCCCTTAGCGGGAACCGAACCCAAGACTCTTTGGTCCTCAGGCTGACACTAACCACTTAGCCAAACCGGCCAGGGCTCTGGTAACATTATCATCATGTAATAAGTATGTTTTTGGTTACTATGACACTTGATAAACATTTTGAGGGTTGCACAGTACTTCCTCAAATGAATGCATTGCCAATTACATAACAAATTATTGGATATTCAAATTTCTTTCAATTTTTCTTTATTATAAATAATGCTGCTGTTGATATCTTTATACATAAAGCATATTCCATATTTAGTGACATTGATTCCTGGAAAGAGAATTACTGGGTAATTAGGTATGAATGTTTTAAATATTTTAAATAGACTATGTACAATTACCCTCTTAACACTCAAACTAATTTCTACTTCTATCATCATCACATGGGCATTGAGACCATATATTATGTTAAACATCAGAAGTGTGTGTATATATGTATCAGGTTGTGCACATTATAAGAGAACCAGAGCCAGACACTAGTTAAGGCAGTAAAGATAGTTTGATTCCAAAACTACTGCAGTAGATAAAAAGACCTCAGTATAAACTGTGCTCAATTCCCAATACAGTAAAGACAGCTGGGGATGTATAGCCAAGGAGCAGAGTTGATGTGTGGGGCAAACTGAGTGGACGGAGAATTACCAAGAGAGGGCTAGAATGTTCAGATATCCAGGGCGGGAGATATTCGCTCTAAACTGGCTTGACAGGGTTCTTGCTAACCCGGGTCCATGCAGGTGTGGCAAGGATGGGGAAGGGAGCAAGACAGGGCCCTGGTCCAGACCAGGGCTTAGAGAAATCTGACTAAAGTTTGGTCAGAGAGAGTGTTGTCATGTAAGTATGTAAGTACTTCCTCCTTTCTCTCTCTTTGCATTCTAGATTTTAATTTATCACTTCCTAACTTGAGCTGACGTCAAGGCATAGTGTTTCCAAAAAAGAAGCCATAGTAGAAATCCTAAATGTTGCTTTTCAAGTTTTTGTATGGTTTAACAAGAGAGACAGCACCCAAATCCAGTTCACAAACATGTGGATCAATTCTGCTTATACCTAAACAGAGTAGTCACTTGTTAAAATATGAATGCAAGGATAACGTTACAGTGAGAACTGAGTAGCATACACTTCTAAACTCTTTTTTTTTTTTTTTTATCCTCACCCGAGGACATTTTTCCATTTTTTGTACAGATAGAGTGGGAGGGAGAGAGAGGAAGAGAGAGAGAGAGAAACATCGATGTGAAAGGGACACATCGAGTGGCTGCCACCCGCACGACCAACCAGGGCCGGGGACAAACTGCAACCGAGGTACGCGCCACGTTTGCTTTAAATTAAAAAATGATTACAATGGCCCTGGCCAGTTTGGCTCAGCAGTTAGAGTGTTGGCCTGCGGTCCAGAGAGACCTGGGTTCGGTTCCCGCTAAGGGCTAAACTCTTAAACATTGTTAAACTTCCCCTTCTGCAGATA